GAGGAGAGAGAGAGGAGCAGGGAGGGGTGTGAGGAGGGGAGGGAGAGGAGAAATGAGGGCTGTGAGGAGGGGAGGAAGAGCAGCAGGAAGAGGAGAGGGATGGTGACAGGAGGAAAGCTGGGGTTTAAAGTGGCATGCCTGTGTTTTGCAGTGAATTAAACTGTCTCCCCTTCCTTTCCCACACCCTTCTCCTCCCTCTCCTCCTCTCCCTCTTCTTGGTGTCCTCCTTATCTCCTCCTGTCCTTCTCCTCTCCCCCTCCTGCTGCGCAGGCCCTGTGCCTCAGTATGTGGCTGTCCCGCGAGAGGGCGGTGTTGAGGGATCCGGAGGCTGTGTCCCGCCTGCGCGCCCTGCTGACTGAGCTCAGTTGCATGAGAGGTGTGTGGCTCTGGCAGGACAGCCTTACAGTCCAGCCCAGTGGACATGACTGCACTGACGACACAGGACAGGTCACAGAGCTGTCAGGACTGCTTGATCCCAAAGACTCATCCACTTATACAGCTAGTCCAACATCATGGCTGGGCAGCTTGTTAGTGTGTGGGGGTCAGTGCTCTCAGTGCTGTGGACAGTGTGGGGGGTCAGTGCTCTCAGTGCTGTGGACAGTGTGGGGGGTCAGAGCTCTGAGTGCTGTGGACAGTTCTGCGTCTCAGTGTCAGTGTTTGTTACAGGGGCAGTGGAGGAGTCCTGGGACCTCCAGACTGTCTCCCCCTGGTGGCAGCAGGTGCGCACTGTGTGTTCACAGTCTGAGAACTCTGGCGCCGCCCTGTTGGCTGGTTTGGTGGGGCAGAGTGTGGCCAAGAAATGCATTAACAGCCTGGCGCAGAAGAAGGTGAGCCTACAGCTCTGAGGACTGTGGTGATCTCTCAACACTCCTCTTTCTGTCTTACTGGTCCCTGAGAGCCTGAGCCTGTTTCTCTCTCTCTCTCTCAATTCAATTCAATTCAAGGTGCTTTATTAGCATGACCGATGGGTACAATCAGTGTTGCCAAAGCAAATAAAAATAATAAAATTAACATGGAACAAAACAAAAAATAAAATAAAATCTACAGACATTTACAACAAAGACGTATCATAAAATATTTACATATACTGTAAATATATTGAGCATTATTGGGAGACAGACTCACTGTTCCTCAGGCTGTGACAGGAGATCACACACTGTATTATCATTATTGAGAGACAGGCTCACTGTTCCTCAGGCTGTGACAGGAGATCACATACTGGGCTGCCAGTTCAACTGAGTTCCCTCCTCCCTCTCCCAGTAGGACTGGGAGTTGTTGTGATTCTGGCAGGTGTGAGAATTCTGGGATAAGATTTGTAAATTGAGGGAAGAATGTTTCTCTAATCCCAGAGTATCTGTCACAGTGCAGAAGGAAGTGCACCTC